GTTCAGAAGGTTATATTTTCTTCAAAAGCGGTCTCATGAGAATCGGACACAAAATTTCAAAAAATAAAATAGTTTTCTTCCTAAAAAGTATTTGAAATGTTGCAAATGTTCAATATTCAAAAAATCGTCCCGTTGTTCCGTTTTTTGTGCACACGCGAGTTTTCGACATTCAAACATTCATAACTTTCTTCATAATCAACTTTTTGCAGATGTCAAGGCTAATTAGAAACTAGAAGATTAGCGCTTTCGAATAAGTGCTGAAACTTTTCGAAGAATCACTCTTTCAAAAAATAGTCCCGTTGTTCCGTTTTTCCCTTGATTTTTTCAAGCCATTTTCCTGACTGACGTGACTTTGCAGTACCCAAAATGATAGTCAGACCAGTACCGAAGGGAGAAAGTCGCTGGTTTGGCTGGCCTCCTCTACCTGTATATTAAGACTGCAGCAGTCAGTCTGCAATATGCTCAGGAAACGGGCTGTAGATAGCTCGATTTGGTGCACTGTATTGCATGAAAACAAACCGTGTAAGAGACAGAGTAGATCTCGTAGCCCATTGCAGCAGCTTCCTTAGCGGTCACCTCTGGTTCAGGTCCTTTATTACTCCAGCCGTCAGTAAACACAACCATCACCTACAAAACGATGAAATAAGCTGAGGAAGATGTTTCTTTGATAGAAATTCTATGCATACCTTCGTAGCAATGCCAGGTCTTGCTCCTTCCCTTTCATTTGATTGCTTGGCACCTTCCCTGATTGCTTCCCCTGAAATCACATTAACATTGCTTGGAAATTGACTTGTTGGAGGACATCGCAAATTTCAATGGTCTAGGTGCCAGACACGAAAGGCGAAAAGTTTGACGATGTTCGCCATGGGCGAAAGTGTCTCTTTCTTTCTGACCACCCCTGTACCTTTCCTAAGCTGGCCCCTCTGAATACCAGAAAAGGGGGTCCTAGTTCGATTCCTCGTGGTGACAAATTTTTGCATTTCGAGTTGACGTTCCAAAATTCGCGCAAAATGGAGTTAGCATGAATAATTAGTACCATATTCATGATTAGGACCGTCAGTAACCCTTACAAATAGACTTTGATTGAAAAACTGGTAAAAAAGGTGGTGTAAAGAGCGCGTGTGACGACCCATGGAACCAAACAGCAGCCCCACTGTGGTGTCACACCTTTTTCCACCAGTTTTTTAAATCAAAGTCTATTTGTAAGGGTTACTGACGGTCCTAATCATGAATATGGTACTAATTATTCATGCTAACTCCATTTTGCGCGAATTTTGGAACGTCAACTCGAAATGCAAAAATTTGTCACCACGAGGAATCGAACTAGGGACCCCTTTTTCTGGTATTCAGAGGGCCGTTCAGGAAAAATTAAACCATGGTTCTGTGGTTCCCGCATGTGCCCCCATGTCATGCAAGAAGACGCGTTCGCCAAAAGGCACGCTCCCGAAAGACCTTCCTGCGTAAGAGCTACTCCATTGAAACGAAACGGCAAATTTGAGGCCGTGACCTGATGGATAGATAGATAGCCATGGTATGGTGATAGAAGTCATACCGAGTAGCATCAACAACAGGAGAATAGTCTTAGTTTAATTTTAGTAAACTGTGATAGCGGACCCAATGTTTGTTGTTCGGCGTACCACAATTTGCAGAATCGAAATGCGGGGCTTTTCCTGTATACAGGAAAATCTTCTGGCAGCCTGGCCGGCTTGTGTTTCTAGGTTGCAAAACAAAGTCTTCCTCAGAAGGCAGAAAAACTCGCCCGCGCGAAGTCCGCCGACAAAGCAATATTTTAATTTTTCAAGTTTGATGACATCTAAGATTCACAGTGGAAGCGTGCTCAGCTTTTCCTTGAAGTCGTTCGTTACGGCAGTGGAACTATCCGTTCACGCAATACCTTCAGTAAGAACGGAGTATTATGTACACTTGTTTGCCCTTAACAGTATGACGAGGTGTTAGCACTCTTGGTGTCTTTGTAGTTATTCGACCTGAGCGATGGGGTGAGCGAAACAGGTTTTCTAAGCGCAGTGTCCCAGCCGTTGATTATGTCATAAGGCGCCCGACCCATATCATTTTCATGGCGCCACGCTTTTCTCGACAATGAGAAACTTGATTTCCACTGTTATAAGACAGCTGGTGTCCTTCGAACAAAAGGATGTCGAGAGTCGAAATGACAAACATTTGCGAAGGGCGTCAGATAGTAATGGAAAGTTCGTTAAATTGGGTACAAAGGAGCTATTAAAGAATTGCACCAGCCAATGAAGAAAGGAGTTAGAAAATGATTTCAAGGCTGGACTTAAAGGCAGCGATTACGATAATTTCAAGAAGGTTCAGGGGAGACGTGGTGGTGCTCAATGGTACGCCAGTGGCGAAAAAAGCGGAGAAATCCGTCAAGAAAACGCAAAACGGGACCCCTTTTTTGGCCGTTGGTTTTCACTCATGAACAGGTAACAGCTCAGAAAGCGGGCGTATGAACGAGTTCAGCAACGCGTTTGGTGACACCATGCCAAACCACTCCAATCGAGTTGCTCCAGTTGCCGCTGCTGGCAACGCAGCTCGTCCAAATCACCAACTAAACTAGTGGGCGGATCGCTTTTGGGGGCGGAGTGCTTTCGAAGTCCTGCTCAGCAACCAGCGCACCTTTCGTCGTGAAAGCGCTACACCTCGCTTCCCTGGCAGCCAAGTAACTGATTCGTGTGGTGCATATGCTTCCTTGCTCTCACTTTATCGAATCGCTGCCTTTAAGTCCGAATGCGGCCAAAGAATAAATGCTCAAAATTACCTATAGCTGTTGTTCCTCCATGGCTTTCCAGTCCTGCGATAGCGTTAAGGACCTCGTCCTGGGTCTTGAATCGCTTCAAGTTGAATTTTGTTCTGGTTCGACCGACGTTTGCAAAGGTCACTACTGCTACCTGCGAAGAAATTTCTTTAAAACGTTCAAAATTGGAGAATTTCACCCACAAACCTGCGTATGGTGAGGACCAATCCGAAGAGCGCGAACTAGTCTCTGCGACATTTCCTTGTAAAATCTATAAACAGGATCAGTTGTGGTCGAAAAGTCGAGTATAAGCACCAGATCCATCTCACATCCTGAAAAAAATGAGTATTCCCCAGAAAGGACCAGAAAAAGGGCGATTCAGTACCAGTAATCGGGTTCGTGGTTGTGGTTGTTGTCGTTGTGGTTGTAGTAGTAGTTGTTGTCGAGGTTGTTGTTGTTCGACATTTCTCCTGAAAGATCCGCACTATCTTGAGGTGTTATTTCAAGTGATGGCTCACAGTTTCCTCTCCCTCTCCACTCATACTTAACACAAACATTCCACAAACACGCGAACACAGGCACTCAGTAGGGTAATAGATATTACAGGTAAGCAAGCCAGGAACTAATAAATCAGTCGCGGTTGGTTCGGCACGCAATCGCCGGTCTTCTGCAAAATATTGACGACTTGCCTGCGCTTGACGTAGCAGCCGCCTGGTGATGTCCGTGGCGAGTTCACGTCCTCGATGAAGTACTATGTGGTTGATGTTTCCAGTAATGTCGAGCAGTTCTCGCCTAGAAATTTCTCGGTCAGAAAATTGCTTGGAGAAGACTTTGTGGAAAATGCATTTGAAAAGATTGTAACATAAAATCAAAAATGGAAAATCTTTCTTTCGGATTCTAAACTCGAAGACGAAAATAGCATACAAACACATACAGTCCCTCCTTGCGTAAGACCGAAGCTACTAACCGCAGTTCAAAAAATCATTGTGGCAAAATCGTCAAAAGGTTTCCTTGCAAAATTTGTCAAAATGACGAAGCTAAGCATCTTCCTTAAGGTCCATCTGAATTGAGCTATGCATGCCAGTGAAAAACTTTATTTAAAATGATGCTTGCCATCTGCGAGGAATTCGATTGATCGGAATAATTGTCGGAGATCAAACCCTCATATTCAGTTGAAGCTTATTTGGACGAGCTCTAGCGAGCCTAGTAACGTACTAGAGTATACATCTCACATTTCACGTGTTATAAGTGTATGAAGCTGGATCCTACCACTGGTGATGGCAAGACCTTAAGGACGAGATAGATGAGTAATTAATATCTTCTCTTAGCCATTTGCAACCGTTATTAAATAGTATCGTGTCAACTCGCCCTTCCTTTTAGTGGCCTCTGGCACGCTTTATTTTCATGCATAGCCTCAGTTCCATAAAAGTCATAGTCATCGCGGCCAAGTAACCACGTTGTTGGAAAGGCTACATCATTCGTCCTAAATTTTGCACCACCAGTGTAGTCCAAAATGCGGATTACGCGATATACAATTTGCCTAATTTGCCATCCAAGTGATTGGCCCTTCGACGTCCGTTCCAATCGGCAGCCAGTTTTCAACGTATTCCTTGATCGAGGATCGCGACATGTGATTTCGTACTACTTGCCGTCTCCCACCGCCCGCCAAACTCCCATAATACAAAAATTACATATACAACCTCATCTTGTTGAAATTTGCAGAGATGACCTCACAATCAGCACACTAATCAGAGGAATGTGGCGTGATAGGCTGGTTGGCTTAAAGTCAGATTCTACAATGAAGAGGCAGCCCATTGGAAACCAAGTCAGAATGGTCAGTGATGCACGAAAGAAGAAAAAACCGAGAAAATGGCCTAGAACCCGAGAAATGGGACCCCTTCCTTGCCCGTTGATTTGCGCATTGATGCGACTCTCATCGGTGCTGCCCTCTTCAACGCTAACGCTCTCTCTGCTGAACGGCTAGAGACTCAGACACGAGACGACGCGAGAGGGGGCGTACCGGCCAATAGCGCGCCAATTGGGCCGCGGGGAAGGCCATGCTAGATCGCCGGGGCATATCCTTCGATGCGAATTGTGTGTCGGTCCGCACCCTTAGGAGGTCCGCCTGTCTCTCTTCTAGGTAAGTTTCCCCTTCTTCGACCTTCGTCCTTATCATGGGATCCTCTTTTAATTTGGCTTGATTATCAGCCGAATTTTCAGTGATTCGATAGAGCGATGCGACGACACTTGTGTTGCGCCATTTTCGTTAAGAACTTGTACATATCGTTAATGAAGACTTCACAGCAGTGTTTGATGCACTATCGTTAATTTTTGTACACTTCTATGGGCTATCAAAGCTATCAAGCTTATTAAAATTCTAGTAGGGATAATATTTACTCTCACTCCACTTTGGTTCATACGTTTTCATCCACACATCACTTTTCGAAGCTTTCGAATGGATGAAGTTATTACCGCCTGAGTGAGTACAGTACTAAGGATAAAGCTTCTCGTTCAATAACGTACTTCATGGAGGCCCTAGGATGGTTATGATTTGAGACAATATTGGGCAGCGCAGCGCTTGTGTGAGATGCCAGGCGAGCGCAATGGGAACTTATGCGTAAAAGAATGTCTCCTTCAAACTGAGAGAACCCAGCGTCTGCGATCAAGTAGGTTTATTAAAAGCAATCATAAGATTGAACAAGAAATGAAGTGACCGTTGTGGAGTGGATCTATGTATCGAGTATCGATTCTCAACTGTGCCCAATTCAATACCCTGCGCGCGGTAGCTTCTTCTTTATGTTCGTCATACAGGGGTATCTACTGATCAGAAGTTGAAGATGTACAAAGTCTAGTAGGTGATAACTTGAAAGCTGCTACCCTCGGAGAAATGTAATGCCAAGGAGCCAAAATATGTTGAAAATCCGAACTGTTTTCAACGCTATTTTCAGGGAGGTGAACAGATTTTATCGAAAAGGCTTTCGGAATGTGGAAAACACGACTCTTGAACCTTTCATCGCGATTATCTTGAAGAGATGATGATGGGCAGGCATGGGATTCGTTAATTTGGTGGTAGCGTCTGCAGTGCGTGTGTGGCACTCCTCCAGATTAAAGGCAGATTTTACGATGAAAAGCTAGATCATTGGAAATAATGGTAGAGGTCTTCAGTGACAGAAGAAAAGGCCCGAAACCCGAGAAATGGGACTTCTCCTTGCCCGTTGATTTGCGCATTAATGCGA